ATTGCTGTATCACACGAATTGCATGCAATAGACATAATTGAAAATGTGAACTGATCGAATAAACATAGTGCGTAAGGAAAACATTATTGTTGGTCTTGAAGTTTGTCATGGGATCTAGCTGAAGGTTATCTCAAATTGATCGCCCAGGAACGGTAAAGAAACACAAGTAAATCAATTGAATGGCCTTGTCAGTTTGTCATTCGGTCGACAGAAGAATATTGATTTCGTCAATTATGAAATAATCATCTATAACGATTCTACATTGAAGGGATTAAATGACTGTGCAAAGAAAGGCAACTTGATGATGTTACTTTTTTGCAGCTGAAATAAAGAAACACCAGCGCTTCAACCCAATAAGTTCTCTAAAGTGTAAGAGTACCGAAAGAGATCTTATACGGACACAATAGAGTCTAATATTGCAAAATAAAGCATAGTACACAATTTTTCTTTCCTATATTCAACGTTAAGCATGATTTTCTTCTTTATTTTTTCGATTCATTAGAGAAAAGAGCAGAAGAGAAAATGCTTGCTCTAGATATTATCGTTGATCTTTTCTTTTCATTGCATTTTCATTTGTATTTGGTTCTTTATAGTTTGTTGATGGCATCGCGCAATTTTTCGCTGAATTCAGTGACTGAGGCTGGATTGGCGCCAAGAATGACTAACAACAAGCAAAAAAAAAATGTAAAAAATTTGATTTCAATAGACTTCTTTTGACTCACGTTGTCCATCAACAGTGACATGAGAACCAAAGGCTTTATCATTCTTTTCATACTTCGCTCCAAGTTCTTTCAGACGAGTTTCAACAAGAAACGGAATAGCATCTGTTGTTTTGACTTGAGCTTCTTCTTCATTACTAAATGATGTTGCTCGTCGACCAGCAAAAATTGATTTGCCATCGACATCTTTGACTCCAACTTGAACGTATCTAGATGAAATTAACAAACAATGTATTTGTTGCAATCACTTACGTACCGAGAGCGACGGGACCATGACAGATTGCTGATAGAATTTTACCTTGATTCCAAATGGCTTCTGCCAATTTAATGCTGACTTCATCTTCTGGTAAATCAAAACAAGGTCCATGACCACCCACATAAAACAGAGCGACATAATCATTTGGATTGATTTCACTTAGTTTTTTTGTATTCTCATATCCTCCTTGTTTTGCCTTCTCATCATCAAGAAATTGAACACAGATATGATCATCTTTTAATTTATCAAGTGAAGAAGGATCCAATGGTGCTTTACCACCCTTAGGGCTAGCCCAATCGATTTTAAAATAAGGTTCGAGTGCGTAATATGGATGAGCAGCCTAGATATAGAGTTTCAAGAGAAATACAATTGATCGAGAAAAATATTTACAAACCTCGGGTAGATACCATCCAGTTGGATGTCCATTGAGCAGTTTATCGTGAGATGTAAGCACAAATAAAACTTTTTTTTTTGTCATACTTGTACAATACAATGTACGTGCTGATGCCTGATTGTCGTGCAGCGAAAGAAATGAAAAGTAAGAAAGAGAAAGAAAAATATGAAAAATGATAATTATATATGGCGATGTATGAAAGGCTACATCACAAAAAAATGATTCATTCTTGTAAGTGTTCTTCTCTTCTTGATTTATTTTTCAGTGTCTTACTTCATTCTATTTTTATTGAGGTTTTTTCTTGGATATTCTTATTTATTATAAAAGCTAATCTTTTTTTGTAGATATCAGAATATATGGTAGACTCATTTATGTACTAGAAAAGAACACTCGATTAAACAATCTTTTTTACTTAAATGTGAATTTCTTAGTTAACGATTCTTACAAATATTTCATTAATTTGTTTAGTTTATTTAGTCTCTTTTACTTCTATCATTTCATCTATATGTTTGAGAGACTCTTCTATTATGTTTAATGTCTCCTTTTTCTCAATTGACAGCTGTTACTTTCTTCGATTCAATCAATATCAGACTATGCATCTATGGCACATGTCATCAGAGATCGAAAAAAATGGAGCAATACTAAATAATCAAATGTTAAAAATATATCACGCAGATAAAGAGAAACACTACTAAAACTATTGCCGAAGAATGTTCATAATGAAAATAGTATACGTAAAAAAAAACTACATACAATTCCTTAATAAATGTTGATTAAAAACTTGTGGTTCTGATTGAACATACAATTATTCAATCGATGACTGCGCAAAAATGATTACCTAGAATAGATGAAACCTTGCTCGGACAACATTTCAAAATCGTCATTGTTTTCATACATCCACAAGATGGTTCCGAAACAGTAGTGTTGATGAGCTGATGATGGAGGATATTGTGTGAAGTCCAGTGTACGTTTGAAACAACAAAAGTGTGACTGCGTATTCTCCTTGATTATCATGTACTCTTTCAATATTTCTATAGATAATAGCCAGTAATCAATAATTGGATAGAAAACATTGTTCGATGGTGTCAAGTGTTTTTGATAGAAAGAACATGTACCAATGTTACCTTCTACGCTGTTATGTAGCTGACCAATACTGTTATAGGTTATAATGAGTGGTGCATGTTTGGAAGAAAGGGATATTTGTTGAATTTCAAATGTTTGAGATTAGAATGAGAATCCATTCGAATAGTCTTCCAAATGATGATATATCAACAAATTGTCCTCCACTTAGAACGTCTCTCATTGAAAATGACTCATTCTTTGTACATATTTCCTCATCCAGTACATTATCTAATGAAATTTTCTTGCATATGTTTCCGAATAACAAATCATCAATTGATCAAAACATACCAAATGATTACATTGCTTATGCATCCTTAAACGTAATAGAGCTTATAACTCTATAGGCTGATTTTCGTCAAATTCAATTCACACTATCATCAAACACACAGACATGAACATTAACAACAGAAAAAACAATCTGTTTTATTCAACTATGCTGCTCAAGACTAGACTTATGACAGTTTCCGATCAAAGAACTGAAATGAGTATTGTGAACATGTCTTTTTAAAAACACTGGATGTTGTAATGAGTCGTTTTTTTTGTAAAACTAGGGCAAATACATTTGAAATAATACCGACAACTTAATCCAGTTCTGAGAATTGTCAACTGTTATGGATCCACTCGAGACAACTCATCAATATCATTCATATTCATCATAGTGAATCACTATCATGATGGTCTTGTCTAGGTTACGTCGAAAGAACATCGTGCATATATATTCTAAAAGAACTCGAAATTCTGGCTCTGACTGAATACTTTTTTCTCCCAAACATCGCTTCTAAATGTCTGAGAAATTAGCGAACGTTTTGTGCGAACACTTTCGCGCTACAGATTATTTGGATTTTAAATCATTTAGAAAAAATCAAAGGTACGAAGTTCGAATTTATGATGTGCCATGAAATTAAATGCTTCATTGAAATCAGTGTCCGATATCGTTTCCATTTTTATAGGAGTTGGCTTTGCCTCATTTTGAGAGATCATTTCTATTGTTAATCTACAGCATTCTGTCGAGATCTGTTTCCGCTTTACACATGACCTCATTTTTCCTCAATGATTTACTATTTTCTTCATTTCTTTTTCATCAGCGAAGCTTCGATTTTAAACTGATCAGTTCGAACCGATTGCAAGCCTTGTTCCAAAAATACGGTTAGGTGCACATAAATTTAGTTCACACATCACACTAAATTGACTAAATAAAAGCATGAATTTTCAGTGCCTATGTCTAACAACCTGAAATCAGAAGTATTTTCTTAAGCTAGAACATAAATTCGAAAATGTCATTCAGGTAATGAAAAGAATATTTGAGTAGATTAGATTCATTAATATGGCACTCAAAGACTCCATGCATGTCTTTGAAATAGAAAATTTGAAATTCATGTAACAGACTACTAACGGTAACTATTCTACATATGACTGAGCAGTAAGTTTAATGTGAGTATAGATCTGTAAGATGTGTGAGACTGGATGAGCATCTTAGATGGACGACAAGATGGCATTCTCTTCATCCACTCTCCTATAATATAGCAAGTTATGCACTACAGTCATGAGTGCTGTTTCTTCTAATCTACTTTCAACCTCAATTGTGTTCTCATTATCAATTGGAACATTAATCGAATTCCTACAATGGTAATTGACAACATTTTCTAGAGATGAAATATTTCGATACTCGATTATTGTGATTATTTTAAGTTCTAAATTATTATTAAAAGTTAGCATAGAAAAGCAAGTAAAATATATAGAATTGTTAGTAAAGCGAAGTTTGTTTAAATTATATTATTTTATACATCGATTTTTTTTCATTACTTGTTATTGATATTCGTAAAAGTGAAAAACCAAATTGAATTAAAAATATAAATACATTTATATATATACATATAATTCTTTACTATATTCAGTAATTTACAATATCTAGGTTTTGATTCACCTTGCTCTATTTATCATAGATTATAATTTGATATATCATCTTCAGTTGTTTTTTCCTCAATTCTATTAGAATTGTATGCTATAATAGACTCTTACCAAGTTACCATTTGATTTTTCGCTAGTTCTTTATCGATAATAATCAATAATAAAGTAAGTTATTTGTATCAAAAGGTTGTTTTTTTATTAATTAAGATGAATTCATAATACTTTTACAAATATTCATTGTCTGTCCTTATATTTTCTAAAAGAAACTTCCTAATTTAAAATGCTTTTCGTTAACCTGTAAGTCAGTGATATTTATCTACGATGAATGGATTCATTTCACTATTACATAAAATATCAGTATTTGTTGTCAATCAAAATAAACTAATTAGTGGTGTTCATAAGACGGAAAAAATTTTATCAATCATATAATAATATTAAATAAATTTATATTTAATATAGATATCATACATAATAACATGTGACTGATGTAAGTACTCCAATTAGATAATGATTCATTTTGACAACGTAAAAAATTTGTTTGAAATTGAAGTTTTATATAAAATTTTATCTATTTTTTTAATATTCATAATTCTGCTATGGAAAAGAAAAATTATGGATATTATAATTCGTAATTATTTGATTTCATTCGAAAGTGACAATATCAAAGAGAGCTTTACAATTACTCAGAGTCACCAGAAATTTAACATTATGTTTCTAAATTTAATTAAACTTAGTTTATTTATTTTTTTTGTCACACGAGATATTCTGCATAGATTGATTGTCAATAATAAGAACTAAGCGTTTTTTCAACTTTTCGAGAAGTAGAACAAATAGTTCAGGAATATTTTGGCAAAAGTATCGTTGAATATAATATTATATCTAGATGAATATGTTGTTCTGTGTCATATAAATTTAAATAATTTCTCTACTCGAAAGTGGATGGCAACTATTGCAAGTAGCTGCATCAAAGCGACAAACGCCAGTTTATACCTGTGGCTCGTCGATCAGTCCTTGTTTCTCGCTGTTTCACGGTAAACTAGAACTATGGAAAGGTACAAGTGTAACTGGTCTTGGTCCTGAGAAAAATGCAATCTCTAGGATTTCAATTCCGATACATATGTGTGTTATAACTGAAATACTCCCGTCAGTTATAAGGCGGGTAGAGAACACTCTTTCTAGTGTAAAATTATTCTTTTGTGCTCTTCTGTTGTCACACAATAATGTTGCTATCTTGCTTATAACAACGTGTACGAACACTTTAACTATTTTGATTTGTTCAAGCATTACAAAACTAAATTTAGAGTTTAAAGATATTCTTTAATTTTTCATTTCTCTTTCTTTTTTTCATAATCATCATACTTGTTTCTTTTAAGTTTAGTTTTGATGCAGACATTGATGAAAAAAAAGAATAAAGAATTCATTGTTTAAATTATTCTCTTGGAACTTGATTATAAATAAAATTTTATTTAGTTTTGTACATAAAACATCTTTCAATGTTTTTCATAATCAAAAAGAAAAGAACGATGAAAATATTTTTTTTTTCTTTCGTATAACGACAATGGAGTCATTTTATTTTTCTTATTCTTTGACGGGGGTATTTATTTTTGCTCACTATTTTTTCTTTCTTCTCATTCAAGAATGTTTTGATGTTATCTCTATTCGACCAAGCAAACATCAAAGAAGAACAAAAAAAAAGCAACAGCTAAATTCGCAATAAAATATGCACATTTTATTTATAACGACAGAAAATATACATAGGTAAGTAGGTGAAAGAATAAAAAAAATCTGTGTGCAGTGAAATTAGGAAGTGAAGAACAGAAACAGTAAGGCATATCTAGAGATTTTTTTTCACAAATATGAAGTTTTAGTGAATCTAATGATATTGTAAACATTTAAAAAAATATGTCACAACGAACACTTTGTTTCGTGAAATACGATAGATGCCACACACTTTACTTTACTATGTAAAAGAGAAAAATAATCGTGAAAATGTACATTGAAAGTCAATACTTTCATCATGGACAATGTATATGTATGTCAATCGTTTGTTTACT